GTGTACTCAGCAGTCTGTCTATGTGTACTCTTTATTCTGTGTGTGTGTGTATTCAGCAGTCTGTTTGTATGTGTATTCAGCATTGTGTGTATTCAGCAGTCTGTATGTATTCAGCAGTCTATGTGTATTCAGCGGTCTGTGTGTGTATTCAATGGACTGTGTGTATGTATTCAGCTGTCTGTGTGCATGTTTGTGTGTACTCAGCAGTCTGTGTGTGTTTAGCAGTTTGTGTGTGTGTATTCAATGGACTGTGTATACATTTTCAGCAGTCTGTGTGTATGTTTGTGTGTACTCAGCAGTCTGTGTGTGTTTAGCAGTTTGAGTGTGTATTCAGCAGTCGGCGTGTGTATGTATTCAGCAGTCGGTATGTGAAAGTGTTCAGGAGTCTGTGACTGCATTCAGCAGTGTGTGTTCATGTATTGTATGCATGTATTGCATACTAATAAATATACCGTATATACTCGAGTATAAACCGAGTTTTTCAGCACATTTTTTGTGCTGAAAAACCCCAACTCGGCTTATACTCGAGTCACTGTCTGTATTATGGCAATTTACATTGCCATAATACAGACTGGGGGCTAGCAGAGAGCAGTTACTTACCTCTCCTGCAGCTCCTGTCAGCTCTCTCCTCCTCCGCGCCGGTCCGGTCAGCACCTCGATCAGCTCCCAGTGTAAGTCTCGCGAGAGCCGCGGGGTCATAGTGCGGCTCTCGCGAGACTTACAGTGTGAGCTGAGAGAAGAGCTGCACGGACCGGCGCGGAGGAGGAGAGAGCTGACAGGAGCTGCAGGAGAGGTAAGTAACAGCTCTGCCAGCCCCCCTCCTCCCCCCACTGAACTGCCAATGCCACTGGACCACCAGGGAAGGAGAGCCCCCCTCCCTGCCATGTATCAAGCAGGGAGGGGGGACAACAAAATAAATAAATTAATAATATATAAATAATAATAAAAATAATATTAAAAATAATATAAATAATAATAAAAATAATAATAAAAAAATAATAAAAATAATAATAAAAAAATAATAATATAACAAAACAAATTAAAATAATATTAAAAAATTTTTTTTTTATAAAAATGCCCACCCCCCCACCAAGGCTCTGCAACACAAACACACACTGCATCACACACACACTGCACTCATATAAACACACACAATTCACACACACACTGCATTCACACACACACACTGCACTCATATACACACACAGCATTCACACACACACTGCATTCACACACACACTGCACTCATATACACACACAGCATTCACACACACACTGCACTCATATACACACACACAGCATTCACACACAGCATGCATTCACACACACACTGCACTCATATACACTGCACTCACACACACTGCATTCACACACACATGCATTCACACACACAGCATTCACACACACACTGCATTCCACACTGCACTCATATACACACACAGCATTCACACACACACTGCATTCATACACACACACTGCATTCATACACACACACTGCACACTCATACTCACACACTGCACACTCATACTCACACACTGCACTCATACACACACACAGCATTCACACACACACTGCATTCACACACACTGCACTCATATACACACACAGCATTCACACACACACTGCACTCATATACACACACAGCATTCACACACACACTGCATTCACACACACTGCACTCATATACACACACAGCATTCACACACACACTGCATTCATACACACACACTGCACACTCATACTCACACACTGCTCACTCATACTCACACACTGCACTCATACACACACACTGCGCACTCATACACACACTGAGCACTCATACACACACACTGCATTCATCATATACACACACTGTAAATAAATATTCAATTAATATAATTTTTTTAGGATCTAATTTTATTTAGAAATTTACCAGTAGCTGCTGCATTTCCTACCCTAGTCTTATACTCGAGTCAATACGTTTTCCCAGTTTTTTGGGGTAAAATTAGGGGCCTCGGCTTATATTCGGGTCGGCTTATACTCGAGTATATACGGTAAGCAAAATTTTATCTATAATTTAAATTTTTATTCCTGTGAGCTGTGTGTAGGCAGGGCCCCAGTGCACTGCTTTGCCCGGAGGCACATAATGTTGTTAAGATGGCTCTGCTACTGGCCTTAGCCACTGCTGATTGCCAGTGCACATTGTTGCATAGTTGTCTATATTCTATATTCCTTCTCGTGTGTGGTTATCTCAAATTCACTTCCATGAAGGGTATAAGTTGCTTGTGCATTCTTGATCCCAAAGTGCATAACTTTGCATTTTTCTACATTAAATTTAATCTGCCATTTGAGTGCTTGAAAATGTACAATTAATGACAACTCTCTGTACTCTATTTTTAAGCCAATGTTCTACCCAAGAACAAGAATTTTCATCTAGACCGATTTCTTTGAGTTTGAACACTAATCTAGTGTGTGGAACTGTATCAAACGCCTTGGCAAAATCCAAATAGATCACATCCACTGCAACACCCTGATCTATACTTCTACTTACCACTTCGTAGAATGCAATCAAGTTAGTTTGACATGACCTGTGCTTCATAAAACCATGCTGATTTTTGCTAATATTTGCATATAAAATTTTACAGTGCGCGCTCACCTTAATAAGGGTAGTGGTATGATAGGAAGAAATTGGGTGCTTTATGGGAAAATCTGTTCCACCACCAGATTCGTGCATACAGTATTGAAAAATCCAAAGTACACCTAGTTAAACTTGCACATAAAAAAATATTTTATTAAGTAGAGATTTGATAAAAATAGTACAAGTAACGTGCAAACAGTCTATAAGGCATGCAAATAAAGAATAACATACCTATTGTACATATCAAATTTAAAGATAAATGCTCAGTAAAACAACCCACATACCCATAATAACATAGGCATACTAACCCAGAGCAAGAGATACGGCAACCCCGACGTTTCGGCAAATAGCCTGATTTTTGCTGATAACCATGTTCTTCTCAAGAAATATATCTATATACAATACAATAAAAATATAGAAGTAAGAATGTGATAAAAGAGGAGTGCTCAATCCCCTGTGTGAATCACTCAAAACACACACAAATACAGTGAAGATAATAGAATAAAAAAGGTGAGAGCACATAGTATATATAAATACCACAAATGATGAATTATGTGGAATCTAAAAATAAATGGTCTTCTCTCTTATTTTGTATTTTTAGATTCCACATAATTCATAATTTGTGGTATTTATATATACTGTGTGCTCTCACCTTTTATATTCTATTGTATTCACTATATACAATACAATAGAGGCTCATCCCCATACCCGAGTTCACCATAACCTCTGCACGTGCGTCCACGATATCCTTGTACAATGGGACTTCAATCCATAATGAAGTCCTATTGTCCACTGTCAATCCAGATGTATATTCGGTCTTCCAGAATCCAATTCCATGTCCCGATAACTCATGTAGCACCGAAGTCTAAAAAGTAATATACAATAAAATTAATAAAGATACAAACCATACGCAGGCAGAGTATATAGGATACCACCAGAGGCGTAACTAGAAATCACTGGGCCCCACTGCGAAAATCTGCCTGTGCCCCCACCTTAATCGTCTAATCCCCCCCAGCCCCTTTATGCATCTCATACCCCCCTCTTTGCCCCTCCATGTGTGTCATTGCCTCCATTCCAGCCCCATCATATGTGTCATTCCCTCTGTCCCGGTAAGTAGTGTCTGTTTCTGTATGTGTGTGTGTGTGTGTGTGAGTGTGTAAAGTTAGTGTTGTTAGTTTCTGTGTGTGTAAGGGATGCATTATGTGTGTGTGTGTCTGGGCATGTAAGGGATGCATATTGTGTGTGTGTGTGTGTGTGTGTGTGTGCGTGTGTAGGGATGCATTGTGTGTTTCTATGTGTGTGTGTGTATGTAGGGATGCATTGTGTGTGTGTGTGTAAGGATGCATTGTGTGTGTGTGTGTGTGTGTGTGTAGGGATGCAGAATGCAGTGTGTGTGTGTGTGTGTGTGTAGGGTTGCAGTGTATGTGTAGGAATGCATTGTGTGTCTACATGTATGGATGCATGTTGTGTGTGCGTGTGTGTAGGGATGCAGTGTGTGTGAGAGCCTGTTTGCTGGACAGGATAGGGGCTGTCGGGGCATAAAAAGAAGCATTTTTTTTAAAATTTATTTTGTTAAGTAATTAAAAAAAAAAAGTATTTAATTTATGTCATGTTCCCTAGTCGTCCGGTGGTGCTGCAGAGGCTCTCTGCCTCCACGTCTGCCGGGTGAAGGTGTAACAGAACTCCCTGTACTCCGACCGAGTACCTTCTGTTGATGGACACTTCATAGCTTGCGCCAAGGACTACAAGCACCGCACCAGACACCACAACCACCGCAGACTCCACAACCTCCGTAGCTTAACTGGAGTCTCGCCGTCTTCTGTCCACCCTGGATCAGCCTCTGTCCTCCAGGACTGTGTGGGTGGGGAAGACTTCTCCTCCAAAAGAGCTTATCAAGAGATTAAAGCTCAGGGGAGTATGCAGAGCATAGCAATCCCCAGTGAGAGTATAGCTGTCCCCTCCACTCACGAGACAAGACTACGTGTTGAGGGTCAAGAAGAACTGACTCCAATGAGCGTTTATTCCTGTTTATATACAAATTTCCCAGCAAGGTTACCACCCACGTGGTTAATGTAGAAAAAACAACGAGGGAACCGGCTGATAATCTCTACAAAAGTAAATAGAGAAAATATAGTGTAATACAGTTTACAGTATAGACATTGCGCAAATTGAAATGCACTCACTGGATTTTGGACAAATTGAAGCTTGTAAGGTGCCTTCCCCGATAGTAGGGGGGGCTAGGGAAATCCCCTGGATATTTTCACTCCAACACAGGACTCCGGGTGAAGTTTGAAAAATTGGCTTTAATTCAATATTAAAATAAGTTTAAAAAAGAATAAAATAAATATAAATAAGGTCCTACGCGTTTCGTCCCTTTAACAAAATAGGGACTTCCTCAGGGACCACAATATTAAGAAACAATTTGATACAGTACAATCAAAAAACAAATCAAAATCAAAAAAGGGCTGTTTTTTGATTGTACTGTATCAAATTGTTTCTTAATATTGTGGTCCCTGAGGAAGTCCCTATTTTGTTAAAGGGACGAAACGCGTAGGACCTTATTTATATTTATTTTATTCTTTTTTAAACTTATTTTAATATTGAATTAAAGCCAATTTTTCAAACTTCACCCGGAGTCCTGTGTTGGAGTGAAAATATCCAGGGGATTTTCCTAGCCCCCCCTACTATCGGGGAAGGCACCTTACAAGCTTCAATTTGTCCAAAATCCAGTGAGTGCATTTCAATTTGCGCAATGTCTATACTGTAAACTGTATTACACTATATTCTATTTACTTTTGTAGAGATTATCAGCCGGTTCCCTCGTTGTTTTTTCTACATTTTGCTGTCAAGTTGATCGCTAGCTGGGAAGCGATCTGAGGGAGGCTGTATTCATCTTCGTTTGATAAGTATCTTTTGCATATATATTAAGGTGTATAAGGTACAATATTGTTGGTTGTTTTTTACCACCCACGTGGACCTTGTGGGGTACTGAAACTGTACACTTTGCAACCAATCAAATAAAGGCACATGGATAATCACACCCACTTATGACAGTAAGAATCCTCCCCTCTGCTTGGGAGATAATTGAGTTAGTCTCCAAGCTAAAACATATTTTTATACCATTTTTATAATTTTGTGATTTTACATGCAATACGAATAAAACTTGGGGACAAACATATCCAAAATTCACTTAAATCGGTTAAGTGGTTTAAAGGTTAGATGGAAGTCCCTTTTTGACCGACATTTAAGCACATTTTCATGCCCAAAACAGTTGCATAGATTTGGGCTGTGCGGTCGGTCTATTTCAGGCAGAAAAAATGACTAAGCCCCATTCGAATGCACAAACGGGGCACCATTCGTGCAATTGTTTAGTATAGCAGTACATTCAAACTGCCGAACGGGACCTAGTTTCCAGCCGCAGAGTCTAAGTGTAGGAGAAGGTAAGGGTCAGCGGTGTTCGTTGAAATGTGTAGCCGATTTCAGTTCCATGAATTTGGCTGCGCACACCTCTGACTGCATTTGGCTGAATAAAGATGGCACAGCGGTTGGCAATTTACCTACAGCAACCTCCCAGCCTGGGAGGTAAATTGCCTGCACACTTCCACTTCTGGGTGGTCCACCTGTACAGCACTTGGTGCAGTAAGCCCAATTTACTGAACCAAGTGGGAAACAGCCATGCACAAGTCATTTCCATAGTCTGGGGACACCGTCTTAAAGGGGCATTGTTCCGATTTTCACCATGCCCCAAAAATGTGCTTAAAGGGCCAGCACCAGTCCCATAAAAGTCCATAAGCCCTAATACAGTTCTTAAAGGGCCATACACAGTCCAATACAAGTCCATAGGCCCAAATAGCATTTTGTAAGGGCAATACACCCCAAGGCCATAGTCACAGGGGAGGAGGCTGGCAAGCAGGCCTCTCCAGGACCAAATGGCGAAGAACACTTCGTCACAGAAGGCTCGTCCCGGCACCACGTGAAATTGAGCATTGCCGTGGTTACCGTGGCAATGCTCAGAAAACCGTGACTCAGCACGGTGGTGAAGGCAGAGAGCCTCCTCCCCTTCCCCAAACTCTGCAAAGACCTGGGGAGGGAGATCAAACGATCTCCCTGACCGAGTTTGGGTGCTTGTAAGGGGCCCGGGCTCACAGGGCCCTCAGGTGCCCTAGGTCCCTTACAAGTGTAGTGGCTGTACCCTCCGACCGGACCATGGTCGCAGTGATCGCAGCTGCAGTCAGGCCCCCTGGAGTGACGGTCATAGTCGCAGCCTCGACCCCTGCGACCGTGGTAGGTACACTACTGGATACCACAATAGTCCCATCAAAGCTATTCACAAAAGGAAGATAAATCTATTTCCTCACTAAGACACTTTGGGTAAAGCGTTTGTAACTCGTATATCCAGAAACAACAGGAACTGTACTGGATATACGAGTTACAAAGCTTTACCCAGAGGGTAGGCAAATATAAAGTATAAAGTATAAATAACAATGGTATGAGAGAGCACACGCTTTTATTTATTTTTTTATGGGTGCAACGACTCGAGCTCCGCCTTCCTGGATAACTATCAAAGAACAAACAAAAAAAAATGCTGTTCAGCACTCCTTAAAAATGATATCCCTTTATTGACAAAACAGCAACATTCAACTGTGTGTCTATCACTTTAGTCTCTTCGACACTACAGGCTCACAAATATGTTGTTAGAGTGAGCTTTTCACTTTAGTTCAAGAAATCCAGTCTTTTTTCATCTTACTGCTTTGGGAATGTGAGAATCGTGTCAGATGACCAGTTGTAGACATAGAGAAATGGAGGATACATAAGATGGACTATGTATTATTGGAAAGCTTTACCATTGATGGGTTCTGGAGACATCATACTAAACTATGAGATGTACATGTGCATCCTAGTTCTGTGAAGGGCCCCTGAAGCCCAAAGTGAGTGTATAGCCTAATAGGGCAATAGGGGAAATAGGTAATATCCAGAACAGGAGGCAAGGTAAGGCAGTCCAAGAGGTCACGATATAGTCAAGAAAAGTTCATGAACAAAGAATACAAACCAAATGATCAGGAAATCCAGAAATCAAGCAGGAATAACTTTACACTGACAGTGTAAAGAACACAGATAGCTAGGCAAAGAAACAGCAATAGAGAATGTTTAAATAGTGTGCCAGTTACAAGCCCCTATCACATCCCCTTCTCCCTTCCCCGTTCAGCCTGGTGGGTTTTCTTATTGGTTTTCTTTGGCGACACTGTCCATAATGCCCACTGCCCAGTATGAGCTCTGAACACTGACCATGTAGTCTCTGCATCCCATCATGATGCGGGCTTGGCCAGATTTGCAAGAAGCCCAACAAGGGGTGGCAGGAAGGAGACTGGCTGCACAGCCAATTAGTTGCTACGAGGTTTAGGCCGACAAGGAAGATCTCATCGGCTGAACTCTGTAGGGCTGGTGATTGAGTAGAAGGAGGGCTCTATAACTGGTGGGAAGGAACTGGTGGGAAGGATCTCCCTCATTGGCCAGACCACAGCAACATTTACCGGCGCTGGTCAGAAGGAAATGTTTGTACCCAACAGGTGTGTAGATATGCTATATCTGCCATGCGAAAACCAGGGATCAGGTAATTTGGCAGTCTTGTTTATAAAAAAAAAAATAAAATAAAAAATCTAAAGTTTATTCCTCCCTCCCTGGCTTATGGTAAGCCTAAGGAGGAGGGGATAAACTTTAGATTATTCATTGCTAAGCCAATATACCCCTCTACACCTCCCTCTATATCGCCCACCACAGCACCTACTACAGCCCTTTTCTCTTCCTCAATGGGGGTGCAGTGTGTATGGGAGTGCAGTGGGGGCAGTGTGTGTACAGGGGTGCAGTGTGTATGGGGTTGCAGTGGGGCAGTGTGTGTGTGGGGCACTGTGTGTATGGGGTTGCAGTGGGAGCACTGTGTGTATGGGGGTGCAGTGGGGCAAGTGTGCGTATGTGAGAGCAGTGGGGGCCCTGCGTGTATGATAGTGCAGGAGGGGCACTGTGTGTATGGGGGTGCAGTGTGTGTATTGGGGAAATGTCTTTATGGGGGAACTGTGTGTATATGGGGGGCAGTGTGTGTTTGGGGAGCAGTGTGTGTATGTGGGGGCAGGTTGTGTATGTGGGGACAGTGTGTGTGTGTGTGTGTAGTTGGAGGAGGCAGGCTGATTAAAACAAATATAATCTAAAGAGAGGCTTGAAGATCAGCCTCTTGCCCACAGACTATGGACCTGGCCTTAAGAGTCCCTAAAAGTGGCTTGTGATGGTAGCAATTGAAATACAACCTATTCATTGTTATTTGAACTCTGCAGTGCCCTCTGCTGGCTAAATGAAAGTGTGTGCTTGTTCATTTTGAAACTGTGTCCCCTGTGTGGATTTGTTCCGGGATCCCAGTAACAGAGTCTTCGGACCTGTTGGCTGGCTGCATGATCCTTGTAGCACGGGACCATTCAAAGAGAGCTAGGCCTGATTGTCGCAAGTGTCTTTATAAAGGCAGTAGCTAAAGAAGCTGGAATCATTATAGGATGAGGTGTTGATACCTGTCTGGGAAAGGAACTGAAGAGGCAGAGGACAATACCTGCCTGGAAGGAGGGAGCTGCAGACCCAAGTGGAAGAGACCCAAGTCAAGCTTCGGCAAAGGGCTCCAGGGTCCCTGATAGCAGCGAGACGCAGACTTGGCGGAGGTACTCAGTTGGAGTACAGGAGCTCCGTCACAATTTCCATCATAAAAAGAATAACACTCTGCTCTTATATAATGCACACATTTAGATTTTATTTTCTTTGTGTGTTTATAAGTATGTGAGTGTGTGTGTATATGTATATAAATAGAGTGAGTGATTTTTTAATGTATTGGTTTTTCAATTTAACATTAAGTGAATAGAATTCCATTAGCAGTCGTATACACTAGGAATAAAAATTAATATCACTAATTTCTCCTTATCTTCATTAAAATAGTAAGCCATTGGGGTATTATGAATCCTAAAGTATGCAAACCGATGATAGAAATGTGTTTATTTAATGTTATGAATATAACGTTTCTATTTCCTCTGGGCCCAGACATCTGGGACTCACATTATAATTATTCTCAAGTGTTCTACAATCAGGTTTTCCCTGGTATCATCATGCTCCAGAACCTTCTATTTTAATTCGAGATAGTTTTGAGTTGGAGCAGCTGTTGTCAGTTTAGTGCAGAGGATGGAGAGAAGAGAAAAAAAATCAAGAGCAACAAGAGATAGAAACGGTGTTTACAGATATTGCATAAACTAGTAGGGAAAAAAGGAAAAGGAAATGGTATATGAATAGCTTATTAAAGTGACATTCCATTCACCATAACTGCCCGTGCTTTTTCCATAGGTTGTTAGGGCAAGAGATTCCGTGTCACCAAGTCTCTATTCTAGTTGTTGATTATAATTGCAAAATCTGCGAAAATTGCTGCAGGTATAAGCCCAGCACTCACAGACATCACAAGGGAAAATGCTCTCTTAAATTGGGGGGATATAATAGAAGCATTTAAA